GTCGCATTGATGCTAGATAACTTTTTGAAAAATAACTTTTCCATAAAAAATCTACTGTTGTATGATAGAGCTGAATGTGGGTTTTTTGACGCATTCAGGAGTTACATGACCACACTGCACTTGTAAGAAAAGGACTGTCTTTACCACTTCAAATTCCATCTCAATATTTAATGCAAATGAACTATTTTTCAGAAGTACTGATCATCCATACACACAACTAAAAGAGTAAAATGCACATTTTGTGAATTTGAAAACTGTCTACACAGTTTTCTTGATCATGCAACAGTAAAATAATCAGGACCGGCTACAAAATATAGCTATTCTTTGAGGACTGTAGTGAGCAAGCACGTTGCAGACCAGTGTTTTTAATCTTATTTGGCTGTGAGGTCCCTTAGGACATTTCAAACATTTCTATAACTATATTTATTGCCTATTTTGAGGGCTTACTTTTCAAAGCATCATGCTAGCAAATGTTTAAAATTCCTGTTTGAACCTAATAACACATTGTTGAGAAATTCATTTAATGCACATATGAAACAAAAGGAGAAAAAGAAAACCTACTCTACATAACTAAAACTTTTCAAAACACAGCTAGGCAAAGCTATAGTGAAAGAAAATAGAAATGCACCTTCAGTATCCATTAAAATGAGACATCTGAATTGTATGTGAGTTTCCTGTCTTATTAAAATAACACATACAAAATTAAAAACATAAATATTAATTTTATGTACCACATAAGATGAAGAAAATGAAAGAACAATGTTCACATTTATGGTTCATTAGTGTTTTATTATGTGAAACACTAGGAGGCATCAGTTGGGTAAAAAAAAGAATTCTTTTGAAATATTGCATGAAATTATCATAGAAGTTATCAGCTTTCTAGTTTCATACTTCTAAATGCTAAGGCTGTACATTACAACTAAATTATGCAAATAGGAAAAAACTCTATTCTCACTGATAAATGGCATATTTAACAACATAGGGCCAGCACAATTTCTTGGCTGTTTTCAAATCAGACTACACACATGCAACGCAAATAATAGTTTTACAGCATATTATATTTTAAAAAATAACAGAATAAAGTAAAATTCTTAAGTTGTTGTTCAATACTATAATTTTTGTTAAATCTGTGAAGCCCTGACACATTTTAGGCACTCTCCCCTGCTTGTAAGCTCTTAATATGGTTAAGTGCAGTGAATTTTGTGCAGTCCTAGAAAATTTTTAGAGCCTAGGCACTTTTTGTAACTTTAAATTGTGATTAGAGGAAAATATCTAGACAAATATATTTTTTTTAAAAAAATCCAAGAACAATAATCTACCACATTTCATTTGTATTTCCCCAAAGGGGTGTATTAAGAAGTTTTTACAAAATTTGTGTAACAATGCTATAAATGGCTGTGCTTCCACTATAAATCATACAAATCCAATAACATCAAAACTGAGTTTTCCTTGATTTGAATTACATTTAAAATGAGTAAGCGACAGAGTTCTAGTTGTCTCATACAATAATCACTTAAAACTGAAGTGTGTCTTGCAATGCACAGCAATCAGCTTTTATTGCTGTCCAATCCAAATGACATGTGAACTGCCTAATCCTTCTTTTGTAAGGCACATAAGACTTTGTTGTCACTGTTGGTTTTGTGAATCGCCCCTATAAGCTGGTCTGATTTCCTAAAGATGACAGATCTCAGTGAATAGACAACCTCTACTGCGCTGCAGTCAATGAGACAGTGGTATTAAAGTGGAGGGCTGAAGAACTACCTTTTAATCACCTGTCCACATGTATCATTGATCATCAGTTCTAAGAAAATGACCTTAAAGCTGGTAAGAGGACTCAAGTAATTACTTCTAAAAATAATTTTAAAATTCAGTTTTTCAATTTTTCACTTGTACAATCAGTGTTTGCTGACCAAAGTTCTTCTGAAGCAGGATCCAAAATTGTATTTTCATCCTTTTCAAATATCAAAATTCTAACTCTGTTTGTTAAGCTTGAAGTTTTCTAGCTTTCAGAATTAAACATATTATTTTAAAAATATTTTGTACCTAAGTCATTACAGAGCCTAAATGAGGATATAGCAAAATCTCTCTGCTGATATCAAATAGCAAAATTAAAAAACTTAAAATGCATAAAAATATACGTGTTTTGGTTATTATTCAGGATGCTGAAGCAAGGACTATAAATTCTTGGAAATTACATAACAGCTTATGTAGATTCAGCTCCATCATCAGTATTTTTGAAAAAATACCAATACACCTTACTTGATTTTTGTAAAAATTGTCATGCAATTTTGAATAATTATATCAAACAGATAAAAATGGACCTTAATGTATCAAACACCAAGCCTTTTTTCTTTCAAGAACGTAATAACAATTAATGACTTCTTCCTTAAAGAAATATAGAACTAACTTCAGCTGTCTCTGAAAATTAACTAAACTATCCTGATGAAAAATAATCTGTTATAGAGAAAAGTAAAATTAATAGAAATTAAGTTGGAAAAATATTCTTTTCACAACTCCTGCTCAGTTCCTAAGTTTCTATATAATTACTTTTATCTACTGAATCATGAGTTACCAAAATATTTCTTAAGCAAACTTTTGTGAAAAGCTTCTGGAAGCTTAATTTCTCTTTATCTGTAACATTATAGGCATTTTTTTAAAAAAGAACCATTTAAGAAAGGTGTCTCTCATTTTGAATATACATGTTGCAGGTAGATGAAACGTTTAAAAAAAGGGAAAAAAGAATTCTGGTTCCCATATTGGAAGAAGTTATTTCAATTCATTTTCTTACTACAATCCAAAACTAGATACTCAGGAACACAACTAAAGACTTAATCTCCAAAACTGTTTATCATTTAGTACCAATGTTAATAAGGCTCCTAAACTTACAGTTACTTTTTTCTTTGTCAAATAATTTTAAGAGGATGCAGACAGTACCTGATTCGTACATTCTTTTATAGGACATTGAAAGTGACATTCTTTACATCTCGGTCCTATGAAGGCTGTAGGACAGGCAAGAGGTTTAGTCTCTTTGGGTCCTGATCCTGTAAATAGTTATCCCTGTGACTTGCTAATTTTTTCACAAGTAGTCTTGGCATTGCCGGTGGGACTAGTTGCATAAGAATTCCTTGCATGAAAGAACCTTTCCATGTTCAGGTCCCAGAGCTACCTTCTCATACTATGTAGAGCATATTAGCATAAATATATATGAACAGCAAGTTTTTAAAATAAAAGTAATTACAAATCAAACAATAAACCTACTAATAAAACAAAAAACACACCACAACATCGTACAACCAGGAACATAAGACACCTGGGATTAAGGGCCATTGTCTTAAATTGTTCTTCAAGAAATTTTTCTATCACTCCCAAAAGGACAGAAGTGTGGGCGGGTATTTCAGCATAGGCTCATTATGAATTATACTCATTAATACAAAAAGAATAATATAATGGATATTTTAAGAAAATTAATAAAGTAAGAAAGTTTTGTGAGTTTTGGACTTAAAGTAAGGTACTTGAAATCCTGTAAAAAAATACAGTTCAAAAAATAACAAATCCCCACAGAAACCATATGACTTAACATTTGGACTGAAAATTATTATGTGGGCAATACAGAGGTGCTGGAGTGGTGGATCACAGGTGGTACTATTTCCACACCTTGCCAAGTATCTAGGGATTAGTTATTATACTCCATATAAACATGTTTACTCTTCAAACACAATGGCCAGGAAAGTGCCAATGAAAGAAATCTAGTCTTCTAAATGAGAAGTTGCTTCTAAAATAGTTTGTCATTCATCTTATAGTTATTTTAAAGTAAAGATATGAAACTAGGACATATGCCATTAAGGTGACTGTCAGATATGTGCAAAATATTGTGTCAAAGCTATTATTTTTTGATCATCAGCAAAGTACTGGTAAAGGGCCTTTCCCTGTTTAATTATCTTAAACCTTTAGTCTTAAATTGTCTATTACAGTATTTAATTAAGTATGTAGTTATTTGGTAGTAATAATCATAACACACAATAAAGAAAATAGAACTTTTCTATAAAAGACAATGCTTAGATACCCACAATGATTCATTAAGTTTTGTTTTGCACCATGCTGCATTGCTTTTTATTATTATTATTATTAGTAATAGTAGTAGCAGTAGTAGTAGTAGTATTGAAACAGGATTATTAGCTTGTTTTTTATACTTGTTTTGTTTTTCAGGCTGACAGAATGTCACACTAAGTTTTATGGGAAATAATAAGTATTCTAATTACACAATGTAACAATAATCTTACAAGTCTGTCATTTACATTAAACTTTATCTTAGCCTGTAAGTAATTGTACTGCAATTATGTCAGCTAGTTCAGTAATTCTGATTAGCTCCTTTGTGTTAAAAAATTTAAAGATAACTCAAAGTACTGTGTAAAGACCAAAGCATACTGTTCCAAAATCGGTTTGCAGACCATCACTTAAGTTCCCACATAAATGCAAGGGGTGTTTCCATCTCAAACTAAAGTAATTCAGATGAAAGATGTACAAAGTTGAACACCTTCAAGCATGCAACATCCTAAAACGCAAGACTGAAGGGCATGCGATACAACGAAGTTTAAGAGCGTTTCACTGAAGCTAGATTGTTTCCCTAGTCTGATAAATCAGAGCGCAAGCACTACAAGGTCATAGCTTTTAAATCAACTAAGAGCCATCTGAATCAAATAAGCTTCCAGAAATTCATAATATCAAGCACATAAATTATGTAAAATAACTTCAAAGTCTAAACACTTATGACACTGATAGAGACAAGTTCACCATAATTTACTAGAGATATAACTCTTACTTGTTTAGCAAGCTACTTTTAAGCAACTGCACAGTCACACACTGAAAGTCTGCAAGCAACCTCAATCCCAGTTCACATAAAATGACTGATACATTCTTCAAACGCGATAGGAAATGTACCTAGGGCTTTTGTGCCATGCCCACTATATTTTATTCTGACGCTGAATTTCGCATGTACTTACATTGTAAACGGTTAGCTGTTTGGCTGATCAGACTGGTCCTTCAGATATTTTCCTTTCATAGGAAAAAGAAAAAAATCCCTCTGCTTCTTCCAGTCTTAAATATTCACCACCTGGTTCAACATGCAGCCGCCTTGAATCACACACACAACCTTCAAAGTCAATCCAATAAGCAGCCAGAAGGTGCCTGGGGTGTGCTCGCGCGCGCGTGTGTGTCTGTCTGTGTGTCTGTGTGTGTGTGCGCGCGTGTGTGCTGCGTGGAGGAGGAGAAAGTGGCTGAGCTGCTGGTCGGATTAAAAGTAACCGGACTCGTCCTGAGATCGTCCAGGAAGGAAGTGGCAGCAGGCGAATGGGAAAAGACGAATAGCTCACAGCCTTTGAAACATCGCGGAGGGGAAGGGGGAGGCGAGAAAAGGATCGAAACTACACTCCTGATGAGGTGTCCTTTTCTGCTTCTCTCTCTTCCTCCTTTTTCTTCTCTTTCTCCGTGTCTCTGTTTCTCTACCTCTCCCACAATCCCAAACGAATGACTCTCTTCTCCCGAGCTGAAGAAATAATCAGTTTCAGTCTCGCAAAAAGGGGGCGGGATCAGATTCCGAAAGCTTTTTAATAAAACAAACATAGAGCAGCAGCAGCAGCGGCAGCAGCTCCTTGCCCCTCTAGTCTAAACTAGATTGATAAATTGCTCCACTACACTACTTTAATTATGTATATGGTATGCAGAATAAATCACTGAGCATCAGCACCTCAATCAAGCACTTTTTAAATGATAATTGCATCTTGGGCGAATCAATCTTTCCATTCCTGACATTTTGCTAATTTTAGTTTTACGGTGGGGGTAATAGCATATGCCACACGCAAACCTAATGACATCCTTTATTATACAAAGCGAAGACAAGGCGGCGAGCCGGCGCGTGTTTTCCCCCTCCTGGTGAGGTACCAGAGCGTGCGGAGGGAAAGCAGGAAGGCTGCGAACCCGGTAGGCGCGCACCGCCCGCGGCAGCGCATCTGCGGCCGGTCAGGGCCCGGCTGCGGGCACTAACCGATTTCGGTGCACTCGGGGCCTGCGGAGCCCAGGGCTCGGGTCGTCTCTGCGGGTTTCATCCCCGGCACCCCCAAAGCGACACCTTCGGAGTGGCTTCACCTCCGTCGGGGAGGGGCGGCACCGAGAGGGGGCAGCCGGCCCACGGCCTGCCGTGCAATCCAACCCCTGCGTCGCCTCCGGAGCGCAGCAGGGCTAAGGTCCTCCGGCACTTGCCCCCGCCCCCGAGACCTCCTGCCCAGCCCCTTGGCGAGGCTGCCCCTCTCCGAGATCTGCTCCTGCTGAGCAGCCCAACTTTCCCAACTCATCCGGCTGCGCGTCCCGCGTCACGGGGAACTGCTCCGGCTCAGCGGTGCTTCCCCGCGATGAGCAGCGGCCAGATCCGGGCCCGCTCGCCTCCTCAAGCAGGTCCTGGCCACAGGAAGCTGCCGGAGACGGTCTCGTGTCGGACTTACCCGCAGAAATGCAGCACTGAGAGCATACTGTGTGTGGACAGAGCTTTATTTTTTTTTAATACGTTCAGTCGCTTCTAAAACTGGACTGAAAGGACTGCACTGTGAGTTTGAATCCAGATTAAGCACGTGCAGTGATTTGAGTAAAATTGGATCTTGCACATACTTTGAAAATTTTTATGCGGATAGCCAACTTTTGTGATCCTTTGGGAGGAACAGGGCAGTTTGTAAAGGCACAGAGTATTATTTTTATGATAGATTAAGGTACTGGAAATAGGAACATCACACGTGATAAAACCTAACGACTGAATTCAAACACAGTGATAAATATATATTTGGGTTATTTTAATACAACTCCTTGGTCTCACAGTCTTTTCCCCTAGAAACATCTCATTGGGCCACTGACCTACTTCCAAAGCATTTGACAGTGAATAAATACCTTTTCAGTTCAACTGTACTCTTTAAATCACGGATGCTCAAAGCGCAGTCAGACCAAAACAAAGCTCAGGTAGCTCTAACAAGCACCCTACAATTGCTCACAATGCAAATCCTTAGAGAATGCTGCGGGTCTCATCCATGTCCTGGTCTGTCTGGGTGAGAGTGACATGCTACAAATGTACCCACACCAATAACGACAGTGCTGCTGATGTGCCAGAGCCACCAGGCAATCAGGTACAAGTGAAGCACATTGGATACTGTGGTAAGAGACACATATGCACGGCAGTGTTAACACAGCCTGAAAAACATTGGGAAAGAAATACTTTCTCAGCTTCAGGTCTGCTGTGAAGCACAGCAGGAAAGACATACAGAACAGTTACACAGGTTGTACCCTTGCTATGCCTCTTCCACAGACAATTTTGGTCTCCCAGTGTGGCATCCAACTATCCAGTAATATTTGTACATTCTTAGTGGCAAAAATTAGAAAATTATGTTAAGACTTGACACATTTGTGCTCTAACTGAAAATGACTGGCATCTGCTTTATTTTGTGCAGGATGTGTAAGTTTTCTGGTGTCTGGTTAGTTGGTAACACAGCCCTTCAACGGGCAAGACAGAATGTGAGCTCTGTCCTATTTTGAAAGTAGTTATTACAGTAAGCAAATATTTCAGAAAATAAAAGTATACAGCAGTTCAGAACCTCAACTACACCTCCATGTGGGCACCTGTGGTCTAATCTTTTAATAGTTGTGACCTTCATATACTGGAGCACCTTAAAGCCATGCCAAATTTTTGTCACAAGCACAGTTAATCAAATCCATGTAAAGGACATCTCGATTTTTACAACAGGATTCAGATGCCAGATGGACAAACAGATATAAGGGGAGGGATCAGGATTTGTGACTCGTTTCAAGGTTAGAAAAGGCATGAACTTATGCAGAGTAATTTGAAGTGTTTGAGTGGTTTTGTTTCCCTTAATTTAAAGGGATCAATTAAAAAACCTGAAATAATTTCAAACCGTAGAAAAACCTTTGTTCTGATGTCTCTACATGTACTGAATCTCCATGAATGCACCCTTTTCAAATTTCTGGCACAAGAAATTTCTGTGGACAGCTTTTCTCCTGTCCAAAGTCCATGTATAGATCTGCTGACAATTTTTTTCCCCCCCAATCTACCACCTGAGGCATGCAGTGTCTTAAACCATGAGACATCAATCATAATGTAATAATTATAAAATCAGATCTCCAAATGTTTATTAAAGAGTGTATCCAAGTATCTCTTTCCATTACAAGTGTGATTACTTCAAGGTAACATTTCCTTTGAAGATGATTATCGAAGTATATTTTTGTTTTGTGGATGCAAAATATATTTTTCCCTTAGGAGAAACAAGATTGCCAACTTACATCTTTTAATGGTATTTAAACTGAAAAGCAGTGATATTACTATGTAATTACCCACCTCCTTCGCATCTTAACCCTGGGCTAGCTTGGTTTCTGTTTTCTGTTTAAAGTTCTGCTAAAACCCATTCCACCCTACACCTTGCTTTCTTCCACCACCTCCCTATTTGTAAGAGCAACACAGTATAACTCTTTTTCCCATGTCTGGCTGCTTTTAAACTTGGCCCACGCTGGGTGCAGCTCTTGAAGAGAGCTTTATGAAATTATTTTAAAGTGAGCTGGGGCGGTTGCCACAGCAACCCACCCTGAGAGAAATTGAGGCTATAGATTAATCTACCCCACAAGATTATTCAACAGTACTGTATTTGTTCTTCATTCTTTCATAATAGTCCCTCAAACCATATGCTTTTATAATGAACAAAAATATATAAACTCAGATAATTTCAGAGATAGCAGGGTTGTGTTCCAGGAGCACAAATTAATTGCTTTGTAAACCTCTGCAATGAGATAACATGTACATGATTCTTCACAAAATTGTTTAATTGCAAAAAAATATATCTGCAAGGTATGCATTGCTGACATATTAACTTTAAATAAAATGGCATGCCATTACTAAAATGGTGTTATCATCACACACATCATGCAATGATTACAGAAAGCCTTTGTCACAGGTGTATCCATAAGTATTTTATGCAGTAGAGTTTTGGTCTCCAGGTTTTGCTTTGAGCAAAAATCTAAAAATAGTAAATAGTACTTGGTGATATTTAATGTAAAAAATATTAAACACTCACCACATACACCCTCTTTATTGTCAAAATCATCCGCCTCCAATGCTTTACTTAATCTTTCTCATGGTGTAGTTACTTCACAGTTTACAATTCTTGTTCGGCACCTTGGATGTTTAAAAGCACAAAAGTAGCATATTATTAAAATTCAAACTTCCAAATTTTAAGAGATTAATGAAGTAATTTCCATAAAAAGAATATGAATCTTTACTGATTTGCACTTAGGCCTATCTTGTAAGTAGCTTGATGTTTTCAGAAGCTGTTATAAACTCCATCTAAGTCCTACCTTAGGGATGCTACACTATCAGTAAAATTACAAAACTATTGATCACAGGCTGTACTTATCCTCCAGTTGATATTTATACTTTGACATGTATTTTGGAAAACACAGCCATCTCACTGTTTAATAAATGCCTGTTTAAAAGGCCAGGGTGAAATATAAAGTGGTAAAATTCAGCATATAATTTTGTTCCTTCTATAAAGGGCAGGTATGTGTGGTGCCAACACCAGACATGCATCTCCTTGGGCCTTCTTTAAGGAAGGCAACCAGGTAGCACCAGCAGAACATTTTTTTTTACCCCAAATATTCGTTTTTCTGTGCACATGTAGTTGTGGAGAGGGGGGTCCCAACTGGAACAACTTGGTTTTGAGGGGCAACCTTTCTGGCCTCTGCCCCAACCCCTTGCACCTGCACACATCTTTACCCGGGCTTCTCATCGTTTATTTATTGACTCATAATTTCTACGTGCTGGGCTGTCCCTCCGGGTGTGGTGGTCGGGAGTCACAGCAGGAGTAAGTACGACACTGGCCCCATCTCTTCCTGCTCCGAGGATCTGGCAGGGCCGGGCGAGGCAGCGAGTGACAGCGGGTCCCGGGTGGCGCCGGCGCTGCCGGGGCTGCGGCCGCCGCCCTTTCCTCGTCCCCGTTCTGACGGGAGGACGCTGAGGGGGTGTAAAGCCGGCCGGGCAGTGGCTGTTCTAATGCAGCTATGGTTGTGTGGGACTGGCCGGGGGTAGCGAAGGGTTGGGAAGTCCAGACCAAAGGCCGGCTGTGAGGAGGCTGGAAGCAGAACTCTGCCCCGCGTCCCCAGGCAGAACTGCCCTCATTGGGCCCCTCCGGAGCCTGTTCAGAGCCTTTGCCCACGGCTCCGACCTTTGCAACAAGTGGATGTCCCCACTGTGGCAGGCTCTGCAGTGCCAGCAGAACCCGGGCTGCCAATCCTGTCAGCTCAGGGCCAGGATGGAGCCGCGGGAGGGTAGATGGTGGGGCGTCAGAGCTAAGGTCCCGGGGCTTCAGAGAGGGCTGGAGTGGCCAAACACGTAGGGCCAGGCTTGAGAAGCTCCAGCAGCGCATGACAGTCCTGTGAAGGGGACAGATCGGTGTCCAGCTGGCTGGTATTGAAGCCGTGGAGTGAAATGAGATGAAGGGCTCTTGGAGTTCGACTAACACAGGATATTATCTGTTAGTTTCCAGCCTTTTGGAAAGATATTTTTTCAATTCGCCACTTCCCCCTCTCCTCCAGACACCGCCCTTTTTTTTTTTTTTTTTTTTTTTTTTTTTTTTTTTTTTTTTTTTGGATCAAGAGATTTTTTTTATGCTCCCCTGCTGATACTTTCAAGGGCCTTTGCAGGGAAGAGATTGATTTTAGCGGAAAAAAGACTGCCAAATGCGTTAAGTCAACAATGAAAAGGGGGTTTGTTTGTTTTGCTAAATTGATCCTGTTCTAGTAATCCGCAGTGTTTCATTGTTACTAAAGGCAGCTTCTTAAACTCTAATTCACAAGTTGCTATTGTCCTTTAAATATCTCACAAACAGCTGCCCAAAGATATTTCTTTTATCCAATACATTTTTTAATTGTAATTTTTTAAAAACTGTTTTCAGTCTAGAGATAGGAGATAACTTCTTCAAAGACAAATACATTTTCTTTCAAAGATTACACATTACTAAATTTGTCCTAAAGAGTATAAAAATAAAATAAATACTATAAAAATAGTATTACAAAATAGTATTTATCACTTTGTGAATGACAACATAGACTGATATTAAAATTAGATCTATGTCTACTCTTGCCGCACATGCATTTTAGAAATAAGTAATTCTTAAGGTATGTATCTTTTAAAAATTATTCTTCAAAATGAGACTGAAATGGCATCTGAAGGAGGTTAATAGATATAGAAATCCCAGGTCTCCTGCTTAGTGTGGAACATGGATGCTGTGGAGCGGCATATGGCATGTCCAAAGTCCCTTGAACTCTGTTGAAATCCAGTGTACTCTGACAGGCTGAGATGAGATACTAAAATGGAAGCTCAGCCCTATGTCACTGGCCACCCAGATCCAACTTCTACCTCCAAATTAGTCTTTGGGTATGCTCTAAGTCCAGTTCCTGTACCAGCCATCTGTAAGTAATGCAAATGTACTTATCATGGTATGCCAATGTTCCACCAAATGTATAGAGTTTATATACACACATATGCATTTTAGGGGTATAACTCTTGTAGCCCATGATCTTACTTAAGTGTAAATATAGGAAGAATTTAACTTACTAACCTCTCCCTCGTCGAAGTTTAACTGCAAAAGTGTGTGTCTAGGCTTTCCTGAAAGAAATGCACCTAGAGTTTTGAAGATTTTCAGTGCTAGTAAGAAATTGGCAAGCAAAACTTTAGTCTCAGACAAACTCAAATCTCAGTAACTAGTTTCAATTCTACTTCCCTTCCCCAGTCTCTTCTGACATAAAGTTAATTAGGTAAAATTTTGAGCTAAGTGGAATTTTTTTTTCCCCTTATGCAAAAATACAAAAATAGATCAAATATGAACTTAGAGTGGAAATTTGGAATCAATTCCCCATCTTAATAGGGTTTAAGTACAGGAATGTATTTGAAGAATAATTTTGGAAATGCTGTCATTTTCATGAACTGGTGCTCATGTCTATAATTCTGCGTCTTCCTATGCAGAAGCGTCAGATTTTTTTTCCAAAGTAAAGCATTTGGTGGAAGTGTAATTTACTGTGTGGTCTAATACATCTGTGATTAAAGTCTATCTAGATTGTTAAACAGCTTTCACCCAAGAAATACAGTATCTTTACTATTCAACTCATTTGCTAATGTAGAAGAGCTATCTCTCACAGCTTCTAGAATTGATGCAGAAGAAGATAACTTTGTATTTCTTTGTTAATTTATGCAGCTTTAGAAGTCTTAAACCTCTGTATAATTAGCTGTGTATTTCTAAAGAAGTTCCTGCTAGTGCAGTGCCTTCTACTTATCTGTAAGAGGAAAGGCTTCCATAAATTGTTTCAGAATTAGCATCTAAGTAAGGAGCACACTTTTAATTCCTTCTACCACATTTATTTGCCCATGTGATTGCCTGCCCTGAATAAGGAGAATCTCTCTGTGATTCACTTTCATTTTGGGAAAAGCTGGGAGAGAACTAGGAAAATATTTTTTTAGGTTGCATATTCCTTCTCTTTTCAAGAAATGGAATTGCCTGACTAAGGTATTGTGATATTTTCAGGTATTTTGACAAAAAATGCACAACCTAAAAGAAAAAATATGATTGCACCCCCTTGCTAATTGTGTGACATTCAAGCTTTTTTCTATCTTGCATTGAGTGATGATGTGATACAGAAGCAGACAGCCATAAATGGCCAGAAAAGGCTTAATTAAGTATTCTGCAGCTGCTACAAATTAGATCAGCATCTGCATCTGTGTAGACAAAGAAATTCATGGTAATTTTGAGGGCCAAGCAAAGTGGAGGTTTGTTTTGGATGGACGCCTAGCCACAATTCAAGCAAAATTCAGACTCAAACATGTTGTAAGGGGGAAAAAAAGGTTGGTCAACTTCATCTTCTGTTGCTGAAATCTACTATGGTTTCCCATTCTGGCTTTATATGTTATTTCAATGTCACACATGAAAGGCATCTCTTAAAGTATTCAAAATTTGGGTTTTTCCCCCTAAAAAATAATTCTCATGGGTTTTCCAGATTAGACTTTGAGCTATATTTTGGATAAGCAACCAGCTTTTTGCTGTTTTCTGACAATATGCCTCTATTTTAGATTTCATACCACTTTCTGGAACTAAAATAGGAGTAAATGATGCACAAATGTTAATGGTCAATGATCCGACCTGTTCTAATAGCAATATTTACACCATAAATTGAATATAGAATGCAAGAGTGATAGATTAATATCTGGAATGAGAGTATGAAGGTATCACTCTCAAACTTTTTTATACAGATATGCTTGCATGCATATATCTGTATATTGCAAGAACTAATAGGTTATTCTGTGGACATTTTGACAAAATGCACTGGTTTTAGGTGTTTTCAAACTCTTCTAAATTCATGCTTTTGTTTTTTGTTTGAACAGCTCCAAACACAAGTGTTGATTTATAAATATGTCTTCTAAGTGCTGCTGTAATACTAGATCTCTGTTTTAAAAACAATAATTAATACAAGTATTTCATTAGATGATTTAGAGAGGCCTTTTGAAAGTTGACAGTTCTTGATAAGTGAAGAACTCTTAATTTCTGTGACCATAAATGTAATTGCACAATAGTTGGGTCAACTTTTAGACATGATTATGCCACTTATGTTAATCTATTTAAACCTTCCATTAGCATCCTGCTGTGGGGTTTTAACTCTTCCCATGGAAGTACTTTAAAAAATTGACATTATTGATGTTAAAAGGAAAGTAAGCCTCTGGTCATGTTTAGATTTGTACTTTGGTTTGGATATATTTGATCTGAAATAATTGTTACTGCCATATGATCTAGTCTGATCTTCTTTGTACAGCTCCTGTATGATGCGCAGATTTAAGTTCCCATTTCTGGTCTGTTATGTTATTGCAAATTTGCACCAATCAGACCAGCAAGTTTTGATTTCACCAGTGACTTTACAGATAGCTACCCTAACATGGCTAAAGGATAAGAAATCTGATTACTAAATTGAAGTTCCTTTGACTGGAAATTATTATTCTTTTCAAGCAACTAAAAACCATATAGAGACAACTTCATGGTTTTCCTTCTTTTGTCAAAAAGTTCAATTGACTTTATGCAAATACCTATTGAAACTTCTTGAACTGACCTAATATATTTTTAGCCTTTTTTTTTTAGACTCTCAATAACAAATAAATATGTTATGGTGACTCTTCTATTTGTCTTTATATTTTAAATCTACAGCTGTTGGAATTTCTGTGCTATAAAACCTCTTTACCTCTGGATGTGATTGAGTTGTTTTCTTTGCTGTTGCTCAGCTAAAAGGGCAAGAGCTGGGGAACAGGTACATGTTTTCTAGGTCCTAAGTGAGACTGAAGGATCTTTTTGTGGTCTACATGTTCATGTAGGGGAAGATAAGACAATAGGAATATGGGCAGAAATAATTCAAGAGAACTGTTGCTAGTGGGGATAAACTGGTTAAGAATTTTTGGATTAAATTGAGATTCAATGAGGAGTTCCCACATCCTTTTTGCAGATTAAACCTAGCAGTTGGGAAGCTACTGAAAGAATGCTTTTTCCCAGGAACAAAGAAACCAAGTGCTTCTTTGCCCTAAGTGGAAACCAGTTCCCTTGTATTTCTGTGGAAGAATGCAAGCCTAAGTTTCATTTCTGTGAGACTGAGATGCAGTACTAAATGGCTAATGCACTCAGTTAGTGCAAGGACACATCATTAAATGGACAGATTTTTTTTTTTTTTTTTTTTTTTTTTTTTTTTTAGGAGTAGGAGCAATCTCTTGATATACAAGTAGACTGTTTCACAGTCTCTTCTATTCTTCTCAGTGTCAATATACTCTTTTAGAATTACTGCACACAATAATAATTTGTTATTACCAAGCATTCTTCCTACAATAATTTTAAATTTAGGAGATGGATTGATACTAGAGAAAGAGCAATTTGCATATAGTCATATAGGGCTTTAAAAAGTGAAGGAAAAGAATGAATGCTGCAGGTAACTACAGCAAAAATTATAGGAAGCACCCATTTTGTGTACTTCTGTATTGTTATTTTTATAATAATAAAAGAAAGTAGAGAGAAATTATAATTATTGGGGGAGAGGTTTATTTTGTTAAAAAAAGAGTCAAAACAGAAGATAAAATGTAGTGACCCATAAACAGAAATGTTTGATCTGCAGAATAAAGACTTAGCACATTGGTATCATACTATTCAGCCTTTAACATTTTTGCCCTGACAGATGTTTTAGGATACAGTGCATCAGCTACATTAACATTAGATTGCAATTCATATGCCATAAGTACAACTTTTAAATATGTATATAGAACTAGTAATGCTATATAGCTATATTTATGAACAAAACTGTAATTGTTTCATTCATTCTCTAATTTTATTAATTTTTATTATTTTTTGCCTATGCAATTATTTTACATCTTCCAGTAAACTTGTGTATGTTAGCGTAAATTTAGATGTTTATTCTTTGCAAGCTACATTTATTGAACTTGATTTAGAATCCAGTGCCTTTAGAGTTATGCATAGAAAGCACTGTGCTTTTGTCTTTATTGAAGATTTCTTAAGTGGTGCTTTCAGAGCTTGTCTCATAATGTTTAGTTGCTTTCAAAGGAACAAACCCATATCTGACCATGCAATAAATTGTCAGCACTTTAATTGAAAAGGACCACTCCCCCTGGCAAGCAGTCTGTGTGCCCGTACACTGTGACAAGGGGTACACCTTGAGACCTGTCCTTGTTAGCTAGTTTATGGTGAATGTGGAGTGCAACAGCATTTTTGAAATGGAATAAGAGGGTGGAGCTCCAGCAGTCATTGAGAGTGGTGTGTGAGTGTGTCTTCACTTGGGAATCAGCCACAGTGGCATGCAGGGGTGGGGAGCAGCTGCAAAGCCATCCATTTGCAGCCACCAGGACATACAGGGGCATGGAGCCGTCAGGCAAGGCTCCAAGTGGCTCTCTACATTGCCAGCAGACTGACAAAGAGGGGAGTTCTCCACTACTCCTAATGGTAGTCTGATCTTTTGATTTCCATGGCGACTGTCTCAGACCAATAACCAATTAAATTCTGAACAAAACCATTAATTAATGAAAGTCCAAGAAGAAAGTTAAATGCCTTTTTTTAGAATAAGTTTTGCCTACTGTACCAAGGGGAAAAAAGAGATAAATTTAAAGTATATATATACATTCATATATATATTTGTACATACACACACTTTATATGTGCAGGTATATGTGTGTGTGTAGGTATATATATATATGTGTGTGTGTGTGTATATATATATATATATGTGTGTGTGTGTGTGTGTGTATAAATATGCACATACACTTTGAAATAGAAGCATAAAATGGAAAATTTTTAAGTTTAAAGTACTCTTGTATCAAGCTGCAATTACAGCTATTCATTCTGTTTCCCCACTGATTTTTTACAATGCATCTCATCTTATCTAACTTTTATACGCAACTTCACTGCCTTCAGTGGAAAGTGTCCAGTTTTTACCAGTGTAAGTGACAGTAGAAAGTTATGAGATGCTTCTAAAATATGATGTAGCAGTATATGAAAAAAACTGAATTAACTTTTGAAGAACACAATCCAGATTGTGCATCTCATAAATTGAGATTTTTACCAAAGCTTTGTGGTTAAATCCCATTTTTTTATTTACATGCATTATGGAAAAACTAATACAGATATCTTCCTTTCACTAAAAAGTGGATTTACTGGAAAAGAAAAAAAAAAAAAAAAAAAAAAAGTTGTAGAATAAATTGCCATCATTTACAAAATTAACCACAGAGGTCTTAGTTAATAGGGAATAGTTGGTACAAAAATAAAAGAATGAACCAGGTATTTTAGGGGTGATTCTCTTTCTAACTGAAATAGTTATAAAGTTTCAGTGCATTCAATTAGGTTTTTCTATTTCTTAATCTCTCAATATTTCATTAATAACAGAAATATTTCAGAATTTCACTTAATATGCTGAAATCTGTTGATGACAAAAATAAGAAACCAGAAAGATCAATTAAGGGTACTCATTTAAATTTAATGTTCTAAATTATCTAGTGAGTAATCTCTATATTTTGAAACATTAAACAGTCTTTTTATAGAAAAAGAAAGCATCTTAACTTCCATTTCACAAAATAATTTTTCCCTCAGTGCAGTGAAATATAGAAATAACTTCACTGGAATTTAATGAAATTATCCAGGAGTTTGTTACATTGATTACTGTTTCCAAGCCTTTAAAATCAATACAGCAAAATGCTGATGAACCTAGAGTGTACAGAACTAAAGGCTGTAAACTGCAGGCTGTATGTTTTTTCTTGTTTTGTGTGTCATGAACAATGTCTAGCTAGTTTCAGGAATTGCTATTACTATTTACTGACTTTGCATTTAACAGTGCTTTGTTTTAATGACTAGAGGATTTGATTTCCATACATTACATATTATCTATGAAAAAGCAGAGTTTTATAGACATTGCTCATTTTAAAAGCAGCTCTATTTTTCGGGGTTTTGTTTGTTCTATATTTCATACTTGATCAGAAAATATATCTTTAATATTTAAAAGTATACTTTATGCTTTGACTAGTAGTGTTTTATCCTATTGGCCTTTTATTCTCACCTAGAGCAGGATATCTTTGCAGCAAACAAAGATGTGATTATTTTCATATAGCACATTCCAAAACCAGAAATAATGTCTTCTCCACTTCCTTGCCTCTGAAAATGAAGAAAATGGATGACAATTGTGCCTGATCTACCTCTGCTGAGGTAGGACCTCCCTGTCAGGGTCCCACAACAAGCAGCCTAGCAGAAACAAAATCAAAGATCAGGGATGTTTAAAAGAGCATTGTTATTCAGGTATTATTATTCAGCCTAATCTTGGACTACTCATTGCTGATGTATCATTTATTTTGATATGTGGGGAAGCTCTACTACAGAAATAGTCTAACAGTATATTGACATATGATTCCTTTTTCTCCCCCATTAGTTCTTCTATGTGCAGTAACTTGCAACTATGGAATCTGTTTACTGAAAAAGATTCCTATGGTTAAGTTTTCTGTCTGTTTATTCACTTAAATAAATGTTTTCAATTTAACACAGCAGTTTGTAATGAGTACTGTGAAATAGTTGAAAGAATGAGTTCTTGAAACAGAAAAAATAATAAAAAATCATTTTCTCCTCTCAAAAAAATATTTATTTTAACATGTGGTCATATTTTCCTGAATTTTTACATTAATTGAAAACTTATTGGTCTAGAAAAGAAAAAAAAAAAAAAAGAAAATCCCCCCATCTTATAATTTTCCAGTTCTTATGCAAATTAGGGAATAAACACACAGGCATGATTTGTAGTTTTAAAACAAGGGAATGTGTAAATTCAGGATGTTTTTTAAAAACACCGTGTCAAGCACTGCTCTCATGGAGCCTGCAACTTACAATTTACATTTCACTTTAGTACAAGGCAACAGATTTGCATGATAAACCTTTGATTGTTTTGTAAAATGCTCTAAACAGTGTTAATTTCACTCGTTTATTACAAAGGAAACTTAGTTGATGTTCAGAAGGAATTTCTAAGCCTTAGAATGACTGCTAAAGTTCCAAATACTGAGCAGTCTACAGACAACAAATCCTTTTGATTTGTTTGGAAATTACTAGGATAACTTTTTTTTTTTTGAAGGATGCAGATGGAGAGCACAGAGCACACCCTCAGCCAGCACCATCTAGCATGCTGTTCCTGCATGAAATCCTCTATTTTTTTTCCATTGAGAATCATAAAAACAGTGGAAAGAAAGTGATTATAAGTATCCAGTCAGTTTTAAAAAACTTTTCTTGGCAACAGAAGATAAAATCAAGTTAGATACAAATGCATGCTACAAAGCTATCTGTTTTCTCTTGAACAAAGCTTTGTGAGAGTAACCATGAGCCTGGAGCTGAATCTCTCAGTGCCGTGGTAAGCAGAACATTCCAGAGACATAAGAATAGTTATTTAATATTTTTTTTCTATTAAAACTCACCAGTGCCCTTCTTCTGCTTCTCCAGGAAGTTGTACCCGTCAGCACCTGCTGAGGGCTTTGTTGATCAAAAAAATCAGGTAAAAAAATTCCTGTAGAATAAAGCCAGACCAGCTGGCTTTGAAGAGAAGCCCCCCAGTTTGGGTTGTGTTTGCCTCACTCACCCTCTGCTCTGCAGACCCAGGCTTTTTCTCCTTTGGATGTTGACCTGTAGGCTGTGTGATGTGTGTGCACAAGTGTCTGGCAGGCCAAGGTGCACCTGCTTCTGTCACTCCTGAGTAAATTTAGCTGTAAAAGATATCACTGACAAGCAGACCTTTGTCAGTGTTGGCAAATGAACAGAGTATTGCCATCCCCCTTCAAAAGTACTCTGCAAGTTCAAATGGAAAATATCTACTCGGTTGTCTTATCCAGTATCCAGGAATCACCTCTTCAAGAGCAAGGAAGGCCAAGAGGCTTGTGTATGGCAAAAAAAAGAAAAATCTCTTCCTTTAAATAGATGTTAAAATGACATTATTTCAAGAAGAATCTATGAACAAGATGAGGCTGTGTTGTCTTAATTGTGGCTGGAAGAAAACTTTGTTTAAACAGGAACACAGCACACAGAAATTTAAATTCAGGTTGTTAAATTGTGCTAACTGTTAAAGTTGATTATCTTTCCCTTCCATAATTCATTGTGCTTTTTATCAAAAAAAGTATTAGAAAACTTAAACATATCACATAGAAGGTAATCTCATTTCCAAAATTAAAAAGCATGCAGAATTGAGTCTGAATTTCAAAATCACATGTGTGTAGCACTTATGCTGTCATAGTCTAGGAACCAGCCACTTTTAAAATGGGTCCTAAAGTAAATGGAGGGTCTTTTGAGGGAAGTGATCAAAACTCTGCATTCTTATCCTTATGGATGTGTTATGGGTAGAAATTGATCCAGCCAATTTAATAAAAATAAAAATAGAATTTATTCACGACCGATATACGGTTTTGACCGCCACCAATCAAAAAGTAGTGCTGACTCCGGGATCGGAGCGTGTGAACTATGATCTGGCCTCTATCGCACCGAATCCCCCTGTTCACCATGGAGGCCTGGCAGAGTTCGGGTTTTATACTCTTTTTCTTGCCCACGGCAGAGTCCCTTTGTCCCCTCCTGGAGTTCTTCATATTCAGGCAGTGTCTATTCACTGTCCTGTACTGGACAAAGCCACATCCGGGAATCGATGTGTATCGGACCCCAGTTCCCAGAATCCTTCATTCAGATGAATGTCCTTGATGGTCCTGTCTATCTGAGGTGGACATCTACATGGGCCGTCATCGCCGGGCGTTCTCGTGGTCGTGCCATCGGGGAGTGCCCATCTCCTGTGCGAGCTAGGTTTTCTTCGTATGTTAATGATGCACCTCTTCCTTGGCTGCAAGCTGTCCTGTGTGGCAATCACCCCCTCCCCTCAGCTGGCATGATATTACAGCTTTACCTTATATCATATTAATAAACCTATATTTCCAACACAAATTATCCCCTTATCTATAACAGATATTTATAATTTATTTTTAATAAGGGTATTTATAATTTATATCTGCTCTTTGCTTTTCTTTTTCTCGTTTTTTTGGTGGTTTTTTTTTTTTTTTTTTTTTTTTTTTCCTGGAGAAGGATCCAGGTAATTGAAAGAGAAAGGTGTAATTTACAGCTGTGTGTCTTCTCACAGAATTAAAAAAAGGGTCACCAGTATAGGTGCCAGGATTGGTAGCATCCTAGGTACTCCATTTTCCACTTGAAAACTAGGCCATAAACTCAAGTGGCTTTAAAGAAAAAAATTCAATAATGTCTATTTTGCTCTAATATGCTATTTAGAAGGAGCAAAATGTTCCTTTCTAACAAATGAGGCAAAAATTGCAGACCAGGAGCTTTTTGTAAGGTAAACAAGGTTCCTATTTGCTTACTTGTATAAACAACCACTCACCAAGCTTTATGTCTCTGCAGGGGCACCCTTTCAGATAGGAAGACGGACCTTATTGGCATCATCTTGTATCCATGGAAACACTTTAAGTACCGCTCTCTCAATATGTACTTCACTTATTCAGGGTTCAAGAGCTGAGCACCAAATAATTAAGTGTTTTTATTATTTTCTATGTGGAAGCTTGGTTCTTGGGGCTTATATCTGTCATAATAAGATCTTGTACTTTCATAATATTTGATAAAATCAAGTGTTTCATTTCAAGCCTTCTATCCACTCTATTCTTAGATTAAAATTAATGCTCTAAAAGTCCTGATGAATTAAAATTCTGAAAATTCTCATAACCCTTTACTATTTGTAAAACAATTATCATAATTCACATTACCATCAGACTTAATCACTATTCTTATTGCATTAAACTAGTCTGGTTTTCAGTATTTCTGAAAAAAGAAATAGGAAAACATTGATAAGAAATCAGTTTTCTCTTTTTAACAACCATTCTCACTCATGTGACTATATAGTAGGTCACAGAAGCTGAGAGCTTAACAATTGTCTTGAAACTGAAAAAAAAGGATGAAAATAAAGAAGGTTATTCTGGGTTTTTACCCAGAAATTACTGGAAAGCAAAATAATTATTTTTCTGTTAATATGTGTCTGCCACACTACTTAGTTAAAATATCAAAGCTGTATATATAGAGCTAAGAGAAATAAGGGATTTTATTGCTATTTCCATGCAGAAAAAGAAACACTGGCATGAACTACATTTATTTTCAAAGCTATCATTCTGAAGAAGATCCTTTGCAGATAAAATGTAGTTATTTCAATATTACCTTGGCTCAAATTCAAAACTCTCTCATAATTCCACCTATTAATTGGTACAACTGATGCACATTTTTAATGTACTGTGATTTAAAATATATGAAAATTAGTTATTGATATCCATTACTTAATGTCTTCTCTGTAATTTTTAAAAATCCTGCCCTAATTTTGTTTATAAAAGGTATTTTCTTCAGCTGAGCTGGGCTGAAACAATGAAATACCTTGTTAATTACAGCTGCTATCAGAAAAACACATTTCTGTCTGTAAAGATCCAGTACTTCTCTCTGAAATGCTACTGCTTTAGAGCCTGGGTTTGCTAAGTATATATCCCTGCATATTATTTTCATTTACTACTGTTACTGTTCTTATTTGCCATGTTGTGTGCATAGCACAGTTCCTGATGAGCACTGATGGCACAAATTATGTGTCCACTGATTAGGCTGGAACAGTATTTGTGTACAAATTCTGTAAAACTTTGATATGTGACAAAAATTGTTACCTTTTTGCATGCCAGATTCTCTATATTAGGTTTATACTTTTATTTATGGATGTTATGGATATCTGTTCACAAATGTGTAATAATTTTATTTAAAAAGTACAATCATAGTGTAGGCAAGGTGGAGCTGCCTGACCCCCTGTGAAAGCCTCTGCCTCTTTGCTCTGCAGATTGCCACATGAGACCTAGGATTGTGATTGCTCTCAGGAACTTTTACTCTGAGCCAACTAAGCATATCAGAGAGGTGAAACTTTCAGCCTCCACAGAAGGAAGCAGTGCACATGGCAATTTTTTCATTTCCCTTTCATCATGTCCCTGACCTTACTACAAGGTCAAGGTTGCTGGGGTACTAAATGGGGAAGTAGAAAGAGAATCTAATCTCAACTCAGCCCTCTATGTGTTCAGCCTATGGAACTTCTGACCTTGCTTATCATCCTGAAAAAAAAATAAAATTCAGCTATATTCTTGAAGGATTGCTCTGGTGCATTGCAAACTACAGTGAAAGCTGGTCTTGACTTTGCTGTTTTGAAATGATGAAACCAAGATTGGCCCTGTTGACTCTGTGTAACTGGTAAAAATCCAATCCTTCCTAACCATAGTCCATGGGGAGAAAAAGGAATGAGGAAAATTGGTAGTTGTATCTCTTGGGCACATAAATCTTCAGCTAAGTAATATGTTCTCAGCTTTATGATTTTTAGCTTTTTAATCCAAAATGTTTTTTTTTTTTTTTTTTTTCTTTCTTTTCTTTTTTTTCTTTTTTTTTTTTTTCTCATAGCATTTGTTAAAGAATCACTTCCAAAATGCTAGAAAGTCAGCCTGAGCATATTGCAGATAAAATCTGTCTCCCTTCTCCATCACGCAAAATAGAGATTCAACATTTGGCCTATATTCAGTTTTTCAGGTGCTAAAAAGCTATGACGAAACTGCACAGATCGTATGATAATGGGCATATTATACAACTCTAGATCATCATATGCCTAACTTATTATTACTATTTTAGTTTTCTGCAGATCACTTTTCTAGTACCATCAGCTTAGGCATACTTCAGAAAAATAAAGACTCATTGAATGTTTTTTGAATTTATAGATAAAATACAAATAAGTAGGGAAAAAATCCAGGATAAAATTTTAAGAATATGACAAAGGAGCAGGTAGTATTTCTGTAAAAAAAAAGAGTGAGCTGAGTTACATGAAGACTGTTATGGACCATCAGCAGAACAAAATGTAGACAAGGAATTCTCCAAGGAGTAAAATAACCTCCACTTGTTTTTGAGCTATCAGAGCAAAAACAGGCCATAAATTCTGACCCTTCCATGCCTGAAGCATACCCAAATGAAAAGGATTGAGAAAGAAATCTGACTGACTGAAAACCAGCTATGTTTGAGGAACTTGTTCACAAGAAAATTGGTTAAAATTTGGGCTAGAAAAGGTGTGGGAGTCTTTTCCACCGGTAGGAGCAGAGATTTTCCAGGAAGGAATTACAAAGTTACAGTAGTAAGGTGATGGAGTGTGAAAGTCCCTGTTCACAAATTTACCCAAATAGGTGCAATACAGCAGTAAATATACATGGGCAACTTTGCTTGTGGCCTCTCCTCTATCACTGTGCAAATTCTGAAAGGACAAAGGATGTAAATATATATTTGGCAAGCAAGAGAGAGAGCAAATAAGTTTCCCTGACACAGACCAGGAGCTGAGATTTTTCCCTAAAGAAAGGGTATTGAAAGGTACATAGAAAGTAAAGGAAAAGAGTGAGTTTAGCTGCAATATTCTGAACAATTTTGAGAAAAGGATGTAGGACAGGGTTAAGATAGATAAGATGAGGTATCTGACAATTTAAGTGCTTTGTTAGGAATGGTTGTGAACCACATTTCAAAGAAATGAAGAACTTTATTTAGGAAAGAATTTGCACAGTAAAATGTTGGAAAT